CTGGAGACTAAAATCAGACACTGTAGTCCAAAATTGCATACTTATGTCCAAAATAAGACACTAACATCTAAAATCGGACACTTGTGCCTAAAATCGGATACTAGTGTCTACATCGGACACTAATGTCTAAACTTGGACACAAGTGTCTAAAAGCGGACACTACTGTCCAAAATCGGAGGCTATTCTTCAAAATCGGGCACTAGTGTCCTGAAATGGACACTTGTATCTAAAATGTTTCTAAAATCGGACACAAGTGCTTGAAATCTGACACTAGTGTCTAAAATGGGATATTCGTGTCTAAAATCTGACACTAGTATTTAAAATCGGACGGTAGTGTTTAAAATTGACCAGAAGTGTCCAAAAACGGACACAAGTACCCGGGTTTGGTGTCTCCGTCCGAAAACTGATGCAGGTATCAGAGATCTGAGCATATTCCACAGACCTTTGTTGTGAGAAGGAAGCATGTGTAAGACGAATCAGTCTGGAATGTGTTGATAACATGCTGCCGTTCAGCTGTACTTGATGTCGTGCCGTCGATACGAATAACCTTGTTTCCCTGAGGATAAAATACCTCAATGTTAGTCACAGTTAACTGGGATCGCATATGTTATCAAGACTTATTTTATTTACCCAGACCTTAGGGACGAGTTTGACTACAAGTGCAATTGAATTCCAATTTTCAGGGAAATATTTAGGACGCTCATACCTCGTCAAGCTTTCTAATAGCCTTAATAATAAACACAGTTTGCCAAATGGTCGTGAGCGAAATTTGACCTAAAATGTTAAGGGTTCCCGCGTTTTTACCGCCAACGCAGGCTCGCGCACGATTACTGGGAAATACAGATTTCGTAGTCGTATTCGTCAAAGAATGTAAAGTTGCCTCATGCAATAAACTCTGCGCAGCCTGATGGTGATTATTAAAGCAAAATGAAATAGAAACTGAAAGCAAAAAGACAAGATATAAAATACCTTGAATATACTATGTATCCACATTTTTTTGCTAACTTGAATGACCAAACCTAGGGCGCTTTCCAGAACTTAGAACTTGCCGGTCTGAAAGAATTGGTTCTCACTGGTCATAATGGAAGGCCTAGGTCGGCCCGTGTGAATACGCACGTGATCCTTGCGTGGAATACACGCAAGAGCTGATGTAAACTACATGGCCGATTTAACGACGAAAGTTTGTAACATTCCGCTAACATTTTTTCTCAATTTCCTTTGCCGGAGGTGGAAACTCGTTTTATGAATGATGTAGAATATGAATTTGTGTTTTTTTCAATTAAGTGTTTTTTTTCGCGGCGCAAATTAGCGAGAATTGCGCCATATTTCGGAATCACGGTTCCTCGCTAATATTGCGATACCTTCCGGAGCCATTTCGAGATGACATCCTCGACGTTTGAACTACTTGCTTAATTGTTAACACCAAGTGAGCATATCCCAAAGGGAAATGCATTTGGCAAGCGGCCCATTGATGCAAAAAAACAGATAGCTGTAACTTTGTGGGCCCTGGCGAACCAAGAGACCTGCCGTCAGATATCTGATCGTTTCGACGTTACGATATCAAGTGTGTCGCAGTGCATTGGTAGTGTTGTAAGAGCTCTTGTGGATCTTTGCACTGACCTTATACAGTGGCCAAGAGGTATCATTGTTATATTGGTTTTTACACTACGAACAAAACCATAGATGTTCTAAAATAATTGTTAGTCGAGAGATTACAGTTAATCGCAGTTGTCGGCAAATTAATTAATGAAACTGTTACATTGTCAAATTGTTTGTGTACGTGCAACTGTTTTCCTGTACAGTCACGAATTAAAATTTGTTGACATGGAAGTACGAACTGAGACAAATAGTTATTGCCAAGTTGTGTTCGTTCAAGCTTGCATGGCACAGTGACACATAACAAAGTTGATTGAAAAATAAAAGAAATGAAAAACTGTCATAAGTTGTGTATATATACAACTACTAGAAAGAATCCCAGTTAAGTCAAGTGATTAATTTTTGATTTCCCATTACAATATTTAGACAATATAATGACATTCCTTGTAGAGATCAACAAACTCATAACAAACCTGTACATCAATAGCCTTGGCAAAAAACAAAGGAATATACATGGAAAATTTGCAAACATAAAGGCATATCAGCCTGAAAATGGTTTCAAAACATAAGTCTCCATTGAAAGACGACTACAAAGCTTACGGGGTAGATCACACCAGGAACACCTAGGATTGCTCCCAGAACACACACACACACACAAGCACACACACAAATACAACTGTCTGGAATGCACACGCACTCCTGTATCATGCAACTCGAAATTCATCAAGCTTTCTGTCAAACAGGAGAAGGGCAAACACAAGCTTAATATATAAATTAGTAGAGAAAAACATAAAATAATATATATATACATAAAAACGTTTCATAAAGCTCCAAATCTCAAACAGAATTAAAGGTTAAAGCCGTAATATTTTTATTTTAGTATTTTAGTAAGCTTAGATCGACCGTATGTCAGGTAGCTAGACGCTGACAAGCAAGAAATACAAGCACTTGGGATCTAATACGTTAACATTATAATCGTTCAGAACTTATAAAGTTGCTATCAAGTACTTTCAAATTGGGATAAAACCAAAATTTCTCGAACAAGGTTTACCTTGTACAATAGTATGCCGACATATACCGAAACGAAATGCTCAAAATTTGGAAGTCGCACCGCGTGGGTTCACCTTTGACACCTTTCATACTTTCGACGAGAAAATAGCCAAGATATTTGGGCGCTTTTCCACTCCACGGGTATAAAAGAGAAATTTTCGAAAGGTGGAAATAGTCTGTGAGGTAGTTTGTTCCATAAATACTTAACAACACGAGCAACAAAAAAATAAACGGGGAAAACGAAAGCCGATTATTCCTCAATGCTTACTTGTTTGACCGATAGTAAAAAGATAAGGTTGTTAAGCTGCCGTCTCACAACATTGCCGCAAATTGTTTCTCAGCGCTCTCTTCTTTGACAGAATGTCCAGGAATCGAACCATAGTACCCATTTTCTCCTCGTGCATCCTTTGAGCAAGGCCGAGCTTTTATTATTCTTCTTTCCGCTTTTCTTCTTTAAATTCCGTCAGAAAATCGATTACCTCCGCAACCGACGACTTCGACCTGTGAATGCTGTAACCTAAGAGGAAAGAGTCCCCGGTGGAATAATTTACGGGTCATCACTGAGTCTTCAAATTCCCCGTTTTGGCGTTGTGCTCTCTTACTTTTTGTACTTCTCCTCTATTTTTTTTCCATTTGTTCGAGCACTGTTCTCCTGCAACTCTCACCAACGACTTGGCGTTTAATTGCTCTGCAACTTTATCCCTTGCAACTTTCTTTCATACTTTGCTTTTGTCGAAGAGGTCGGCTTTTCCAGTCGTAAGGAAATCAATAGTTTGGTGCTCTTTGACGACCACGTAATAAGTTTTTCCTCGTTCTCGAGCTCTGCAATGAAATAAAATTTGCTTATGAAGACCTTTGTAGAGCACCTTAGGGAAAGCAATCCTATTTTAAACCAAAACAATGGACAGAATATCATACTCACCACACGTCTGCGACGAACCTGCCGCCATTTTTCAACGCGTAGAATTCCTGCGCACTTCCCGCGTTCCGCGCAGGACCGAGAGAACTGAACGGCCCTTGATCATTAGGGGGGCCAGTTTGGCCAGGATCAGTTCAAACAGGATTTTCGCGACCTTATGAAGGGGCTGAGACTTTGACACTAGGACTATTTAATGACCTGCGTTTATTTTAATTCAGACGTGGAGAATATTTTTTTCTTTCCTTGCACCTCATGACAAACATCTCAGAGGGGTTTTTTCGCACTGATTTTGTACTCCACGCATTCTAATTGTGTCCCTGAAGTTACCAAGTGGATCTTGTATGCTCTAAAACTTTTGGAAAGATTAAAAAACAAGAAGAAAAAAAAAGAAAATGGAACGGTTTTCAATAAAATTTGAAAGTCGATACTAAAGAAGTCTCCGAAAATAGACGCCTGTGTCCGAAATTGGATGGTGCCGTCCAGAAGTTGACGGTAATATCCGAAAGCGGTTGTAAGTAGTTAAAATCAGACGCTATCCTCCGCTTAAATACAAACACTACACATTAACAGTCAGCAAAGAAGTTAAAAGAAATATTACACAAAGTTGACCCAAAATTTTAATAATTTCATTTGAGTAAAGATAAATCATTCTCTCTTACTTTGAATCTGAAGAAATGTTTTCAATCACTTTGTAAATTTTAAAGGAATGCCTATACAACAAATTTTATCGCGTAAACTTACATTGTCGCCAACATGGCTAAACAATTCTTTTCAGAGGGAATAGTTGCACGGGATTGCGGAACCACGAAGAATCACGAGATGGAACCATGACGGGACATGCAAGTTCATCTTTCGGAATACCTGATTTATATTTCTAACAGTCTGTTCACTTTTTTCCTTCCCATTTACTTCAAAATTTCCAAGAAAAAATTAAATATTAGATAATTTAGCTTTACTGCCTTTTTTAACCAGCGCTTGTTGGGTATGAGATGACTACAGCCAACGCACACTCGGAGAATAATTATTTAATAACAGAAAATGTAATGGCACTTAAGGACGATGGTCAAGCCTCCCCAATACAGAGACTAATTGGACCTGATCTATTGCTGAAAAGTGAAACTACAGAGTTTCTAGGGGAAATAAAAAGGTGTTTATAAAGGCGGCCATAAGTAGTACTGTCTGCCTGCGTGTAGACTTGGAGGGAACTTCGACTGTATTCATAAAAGTTATAGACAGATAAACTAACGAAGAAGCAACACAAGAACCACATATGATTATAATCATGATCATTAATCTTCTTAATAACCCCAAGTTCCCTCAAATTGAGTAGATAGATATAAATGAAAACAAAAACGACGAAACAAAACACAAAGCAAAACAGACAGACAAAAACACGCACAAAGTAACTCGCAATTGTCAAGAAATAACAATACGATTTATATCTGAAGGTTAAGTCCACCTTTATTCTTTTCCCCAAAAACCACGAACAGTTGTCGCGACTTCAAGCTATGAAAATAGTTGAAAGTTGTTCCTTACTAAGGTAGCCACTGTTGGCATCTATGAAATTAGTGCTATATACATACTAACACAAAATAAATCTAATTCTCCATAAAGAAAATTTTGCTTCGAACACTATGAAACATTCGTGATTAACCTACGGGTACAAAAATATACTATTCAGTTGAGAGGATATTTTTCAGTAAGAGTAAGGCAATAACAACTAGTTTAGGTTGTTTTATATAAAAAAAAAGTTGCGCGAATTTCCCATTTCTACGTCAAATGTTCTGAAGGTTGACGATCATGTATAACGACAAAATATATCAACCCATGAACTCCAAAGATCACATTATAAATCCTCCTTACTATTTGCAATATCCAACTTTTAATTCTAATAAATTGGTTCTAAGTCCAAAAATACCATTCTGAATTCTTATCACCTTTCTGCTTGACAACATACTGATATAGAGAGGAGATTAATAGTGGGGTTGTTTCCTCAAGCTCAAGGACATTGCCAAGTAAAATAAAACAGGTGAAATGATAACCGTCGCGGTAAAATTCTTTAAAAGGTTCCCATAAAAATTCAAAAGAATATTAAAAATCTTTTCAATCAAGCAAAAGATCTTCAAATGTTTGAATCAAACTTCTGTCACCATATAGCAATAAGATTGCTGTTCCAACGAAAGTCTTATTTCAGTCACTCTTCACGATATGGACGGGAAACGTCGTTAATTTCGTCTTGGTTGTGATTTTTATCACAGAGCTTACCCGAGCACTCACTTCTGGACAGAATATAAGCTAATTACCAATTGAACAACGAAAAATTACACAAACTGGGGCTCTCGATCCTCTTCCTTACTGTCGTCGGGAAACGAAGAACGAGCACTTGTCCGACTCGACCTCGGACTATTATTCGGGCTTCTTCGTGTTCTTTCGGATCTAATCTTATCTTCACCACCCAAACTATCGGTGGGAAAGTCGATTTCTCTCGGAGACAAAGTGGCTCCGTCGTGTAAATCAAGTCTCAAAGAGTCAACTTCTCCTCCTCGCTGCCGATCAAGTTTGTCGAGAATCAAACTTCGAGGAAGGTCGGTATTTTCCGATTTCTCCTTTCTATTCCGACGACGTGGTTCGTCTTGCTTATCATTTTCCAACCTATTTTTCACCTGGCTTCCGACATTTGCCAAACTTTCTCCATCGTCGGCGTCAATGGGACGCTTCCTTGACAACTTAGGACTACTGCTGGCCGAGCCCGATCCACTACCGCCGGAGTCACTTCTTGGCTTCCTAGTTGTCATGTCACTGACGCGCTTGTATATTCCTCGCTCTTTTTGTTCAAATATCTGCTTTCGAGACGCTACAGTGTTCGGACTAAATCGCTCCGAAGAAGTTTTCCGATTAGAGTCCACGCTAACCGAACGATTTCGCTCGTACTGCAGTAACCGATCTTTGACTGACATCCGTGTGCTGTACGCGGACCGAGGCGTCCCTTTCTTTTCAGGCTTTTTATTGTCAGCTACACCGACTTCTTTCTTTTCAGGCGTCACATCGACCGAAGTTTCAACTCTATCTGATGACTGGGACTCAGACGATTCTTCCGCAGTGGAACAGTTTGGTGTTGAAGGCCTTCTTTCCTGCAAAGCTGTCATCACAGGAATAATTAGCTCACGTGACCCCGTCTCCGATGGAATCTCGCGAACGGAAGCAGGCTCATCAGCTGAGGTTGTGAACGTAACATCTTTATACTCGATGGAGGGAGACTGAACAGGGCTTTTCGGTGGCGACGGAGAGTAAGCGACTACTTTGTCCTCTGCTTCCCCTTTAGTTGAAGACTGCACAGGACTGACTGTACTATCCACGGAGCTAATTACCGAACTATCCCCCACCCCATCGGGTAAGAGCGCCCCTTTGGAGTCAATATCAATTACAGTCTTTAATTGGTTGATAAGAGAAGCATGATCATCTCCTTCGACGACATCATCTCTTTCAAGTTCTTCGCTTTTCGAGCTGGTTAGCGTGTTGGAAGATGAACTAGCAACTTCAGAAATCGCTCTTAATGATAACTCCTCCTCGAGGGCATAGGGGTCTTTGTTAAGGTTAGAGTCACTAGACGACTGTTTCATTCCGATTGGATAGAATTCCTTGCTGTAGTCTGCAATGTTTCCAACCCGACCTGGAAGATCGGAATTTCGTTTAATAAAACCCACAGTTCGTGGACGAGGTTCCACTCCGACGTTCCCCGAAGATAACCGATTGAGAAACTCAGACTGACCATTTAACATCCTCGTTTCATTTGAGGATATCCCGACGCCCCCCGAGGTATTTGCCTTGTCCGATCCAACGCTGTCGGAGAGATCGGGTAACAGTGAATCGGTGAAATCTGAACTGAAGCTCGGAGCGAAGGAATAAGACGAAGAACTCCGAGAAATCACCGAGAGCGATGTTTCCCGAGTTGAGTTGGCTTTATCATCGTCGGCTAAGTTTTCGTTGGATGACCGTGGAGAGCCTACACGTCTTGCAGCACCAAAATGAGAAGAATGCAGGTCGTCGTCTGGAGTACGAGATCCACTTGTTCCTAAAGAGACACAAAACATCAAATATATAATCTTGGTTTTAACCTTTTAAACCTAAGAGTGATCATTATCTAATTTATCCTTATAGTAACAGTGTTGAATCTTTCATTTAGAAGTGAATTGGATTGTTAAATTAATTCTCCACATCAACAAATTCTTCTGGTAATAAAAACGTAAAAACTTATTTGAGCTTTTGAGAAATCCGCCTGCTGTTCACTCGCTCTGGATCAGCAGCAGCTCAGGCTGTTTTGACTACTACGGTCTGTGCACCACGACCGTTGATTGACAAATAATCCAAAGGTACCGACGGCACCTCTCCTTTTATAGTGCGCCTTCATGTTTTAAGTTAGATTACCAACAAAACCTCTTGGCCAGATTGACAGTTATTTTCTTAAATAAGCGCAACCCTCTCTTTAAGCACTAGTATGAAAACGAAAACCCGCTGACCTTGTGTAGTATCATCCTCGTACTCATCCTCCATATCAGAATCTTCCTGATCAATGGCAACTCTCTCACGCGGCGAGTCTGACAACAGGAACTCTGGGATGCTGTAATGCGCGCGATCATTCGGCTGAAAAGCAAAGGGAGGAAGAAAGAGGAGATGAATCTCTAAAAGCTCTGCACCATTCTATCTTTACTCGAGTTCGAAGCGATAAGCAGGTTTGAAAATTACCGTAGCTATTATTACAAATAATATAACAACCCAAAACAAAGAAATGTGCCACCGTACCTCTTCACTTCTGTTGTTGGACTTCGCAAGAAGTTCAAAAAACTCTGATCCAAACCCAAGGCTGCTCCTCCTGTAAACAAAACGGCATACATCCATTAGTAATGGCTCCTGTTCCGTCTTTCACTGTGACCTGTCTTTTCACCAAGCTAGGTAACTTACTATTCACTGGCACAGCAGACATTCAGAACAAAAACATAGATTATTCAATGTCCAGCATACAACCAATAGAGCAACTCTCAGTGCAACTTCAGTTTATACAAATTAAATGAAGCTATTTATCGTTTTGTTTCTTCTCCCAACCATTTCAGTGCTACTAACAACTCCGAGATAAGTAACGACAGTGAAGCCTGCCTTCCTCGCCCTCAAATTCAGATAGGGACTTCATTCTTCCAGAGTGCTTGGAGGTACTAATAGCGGTGAGCAGTGAAGTTTCTAATAATAAAGCCAAGAGATCGCTTGTTGAGGGGACATGGCTTTTAGGGAAAGAAACACGGAGTCAGGTTCACACTTAGTATAATGGGGCCAACACAAACGCAAGTTATCTCAGTTTCCGTAATGTGAACAGAAGCGATCTTAAGTGTTTCCCTTCCCGTGGATGACACCCTTGTTACACGACAACATCCTTGTATCAATTTACTCTACAGGAGAGAGAGAGGCATTATGGGAATGGAAACACAATTAAGGAGCCTACGTTAGGAGATCAAGCCCCAACAATTTTTCAAGAGTCTTAATGTCTAACTATCTTACAAGTGTAACTTCACCAAAAAGGGTAAGTTTCTAACGAAACTGTGGTACTATGTCGGTGGGGGGGTGGGGCGGGGGTTATTACAAGAAAATTTGGTTTTATTAACTGAGTTAATAATGTAAATTAACCACCATAAAGAGTTTCTAAAGCTGACGTTTCGAGCGTTGGTTCTTTGTCGGAGCGAATAGAGGAATCGTGGGTTGAAAATGCTCTACTTTTTCGTCAATACAAAATGATTTAATGACGTTAAAAATGGTGACATATAACGAAAGCAGACATACAGTAATTTCAATGACCAAATGCGATACACACATATTACTGAAACCTTACTGAAGGTAAACAAAAGCACAAAGGGAAGTTCAAAAGGGGACAAAATAGAATAATAAAGGAAAATATACCTTAAAACTACGCTATTTTCACACTTACGTTGAAGGCGAAGGTGATGGTGGTATGTTTATGGTCTTTAGTTGTGGTGCGTTGATTGCTCTGAAAAATGAATGGTGACAATCTGTGACGACACTGCGTTACGTCACGCGTAGAGCAGGAAGATTGCGTTACGTACGAAAGACACGCATGCATTGTACTTACGCCGGGGAGCTGGAATTGCGTCGAACAGGAGAATGGTCCGAGTGAGGCTGAGATATGTTTATGTCTGGTGTGTTGATCAAGCTACACGAATGTAAATCAGTAATTTATGGATTATTTTTACTCAATATCCAACTGCATACAAACCAAGTCATTCTACGAAAGAAAGTGGAGAGTTGTTATACTATTTCCAAATTCTTCCTGAGCCTAATTAGGACCGTCATTATTAGCCGTCTGGGGAAGGAGGATTTTGATTGTGTAACAGTAAAATTTACCTGAACCCTCATGACGCTCTGTAGTATTCTAATGACCCTTCCCCCCCTCATCGGCAGTCAATTTTCGTAAGTCCCCCCTTTACAATCTGTTAGCGATGACTGATCCCTCTTCCGTTCCCCTGAAGACCACGTGACCCACCAACCCCACCCCCCAAATATTCACTGCTCTTTAAGGAGCGTTTTCAAAAGCAAAAAAAATCCACTTCATTCTCCTTGGAACTGGCTTTCTGCATGGCTTTCAACTTGACATTTTAGTTATCATATCGTATCATATCTGTCTTTCTCTCTGCCTTAAAATACTTAACTTTTAATAGACAGATAAACTGTCTGTTCGCTTACCTAGCTTCATCCCCAGCCTCATAACTCTCGTCTGCATTATTTCCTAAAAAAGGAAAATAAAAAAGAGAAAGAGGAAATGCAAATTACTTCCCAACATTCTTTGATAAAGCAATTTTCGATTGAGTGTCGTAAACCCAAAGCAAAAGTAATGACAACGGCCCATCAGAACGAAGTGAAACATCCTGAAGGGCCAATGAAATCTCAAAGTAAGAACAAGCAGAGCGCCCAAAGCGCTGATTGGATGATGGGGTGGCGCTAGTTTTCCAAAGCACTCTATTTCAATCAACCCCCCTCCCCCCCACCTATTAACAACCTTACACTTATGTCTAAAAGTTCTTGCACTTTGAAATAACTTTAGTTTGTTTTTCTGACACGAAATAGAACACAGCTCTAATAGGCACGAATCCTTTTTTCCGCAATCCGTTATAAGAAACACTGTCAGTGTTCAAAATGTGGTCTCTATTTAATTTCATTTTTAGAACAGGACATTACCAGCAGATCGCATACTCTGTATTACAACCAAACTGCATTCTCTGTCACGTGGTTTGGGAGGAGTGAATTTCTACCGAGAAAGAAGGACAAGACTGATGAGTTATACGAGCAACTCTTGCAAACATACATTTCACAATTCTCCTTACTGTCTGCCATACAATTCTCATGTTTCTTAGGAGACTTCGCCATTAGATCAACTTATAATCCCCTAACTGACATTTGTCTTTACTCTCATCACTCGCCTGCTTAATTTTGTATTGATATCGTGAAGTGAAATTGTCTTGGTGCGTGGTGGTTAAATGGTTGAGTAATATATACTATAAATAGGGTTAAAAAGATGGAAAATTTTGAGTAGGCTCGTAGGTAAAAGAAAGAAGTTTTTCAGTTCGTCACTAGCGTGAAACAAAGGGTTAATTACAATTAAAATACAACATGCGCCACTCACCTCTACAGACCTTTCCCGTGATATTGAATCATCCGCTTCAGGATGTTCAAATACCTTCAACATTAAAAAAAAAAAAATTGTGATGGCTGAGTTAGTAGTAGGCCAGGACCGTCCTAAATTGGATGTGCATGTCGATGAGTACAGATAGAAAAACACTACTCCACCAAGAATATCCTAAAAAAATTCGTTACAAACTGAATAGCATCGTCTGAAAACCACCAGAAACGTCCATCAACTGGCGAAACCGTACGGCATCTAACGGAACCGTCCATAAATAACCGGACATGTACGAAATCGTCCGAAAACAGACAGAACCGTAAGAAATTGGGGAGAGATGTACGTGCACTGTTAGCTCATGTATTTAAGATTTTTTTTTCTGTTTACCTCGGGACTTGTGATAAGCAGCTCAACAAGGCGAGTCTGGTGAGGCATATCCACAAGAGAAGACAACGTGGTAGTTACTTGGTCGTTTTCACTGCAGAATAAAGATGAACATGAAATGTTTTATACGAATTAACCATTTATAGCCTAAGAGTGATAAGAATCAAATTTCTATCAACAGTATCGCCGTGAATCAAACATTAAGGTCGCGAGAATTGAGGATATAATTACCCACCCAAGAACTGCTTGATTTTTAGCCAAATTATCCTTGTAAGTACCATAGGAATTTTACAGACAACAATGTGGAGAACCCTAACCGCATATTGATGTTAGACTGTAAAGGGTTAAAACAGAGACTCAAGCAAAGTAACCGACGGGCTGATTGTGGGGGCATATAAACTGTATTTCTGCAGGATTTTTGTCAGTTCTCATCAATACTAGCTTCAATACAGTCATAATGTGTCAACAACACAAGACATAGGACCCTAACACGGCCGTCAGCTTTTCACCCGTTTCTAATGTAAACTCTTCGCACTGATTGTCGCTTGTTCTCTAAGTTAGGTCAAAACTCTCTTACTTTGGTCTCAGTAGTGTGGGTCCAAACACGATTGCCAGATTGCTTGCAGGCATGGCATTCGATTCGTCATGATCTGAAACTCTCCTAAGATGCTTAATCAAACGAGCCGCAGTCACTCGGTTAGCTGTCGGAAGCTGCATTACGACTTCCCGAAGTTTTCCAATAAGGTTTTGGTACTCTTCCTGGATATCTTCGTTTCCCGAAGCTGCCTTGCATGTCGTGGAGTTGTCTATGATCGCGAAGCTCTCCTGTAAGGATAAAAACAGGACCATCGTGGGTTAAAAAACAAAATTTTTAGCGAGGGTAAAGCTAATCTGATGAATCTCACCTTAGCAACGCGGATGAATTCCGGATATAGCTTGACAGTTAAAAGCGACTCTGGAAGCTGAAAATAAGAAAAACGCAGTCTTTCGCTAAATCGAGTTAGCAAACTTAAGATCCATAACGCGCAGAACCGTAATGGCAACGAGCATGCGTTTAAAAGAGCTAATTGATTGGTCGAGTGCCATAAGATGGGAGGGGTGGTACAGACTTAAGTTTGCTTACCTGTCGCAGGTAGAGTTTAAGAACAGCAGCTATGACATGAGGCGGTGTATCTGACAAATCAGCTTGGTATTCTCCATTTTCAAACGACTGCAGACATAAAAACACACTTAGGAAGATCAATATCTGGCTAACAAGAAGCCTTTTGATCCAAAACTTTATGGAAAGCTGGATGTTCTGGTTACATTACCTGGCAAAGTTTCTCCACTCTGGACTTGACTCCAGACACTCGGTAGATTCCCTGAAAGATATCAGAACTGTCTCAGTTGACTTGAAGGATAAGAAAGAAAACCAAAAAGCAATAACAACATTTCAAGGGCCGCACAGAAAAATCTACAGGACATTAAGAACTAACCTTGACATCAAGACCTACAAAATGAAGGAAAAAAACACGTAAATGAACGATCAAAATCTAAAAGGTTGTTTAAGTTGTTCGAGCCAACTCTAAGCTTCATTCAGAGGATATTTTGCTTGCTATTCGATTGGACCAAAAATAAGATTACAAACCAGCCATTTTTTCTGGCGAGCGCCATTTTGGACCAGTAAGATCGGGGAGAGCCTGGAGCGGACAAACTAATGAAGGGGAGGTAAGAACGAAACAAATTCATCGGCCTTACCCACCCCCTTCCTTTTCGCTCTTTTGTCATCCTCATGACTAACCGCAGTGGGAGGGGAGGATGCAGGGAAGTGGTGAGGGCACATCTCGTTGCAGAGAAGCGAAACAAGTTAACATCAAATAACCAAGTGTTCAAATACAGTACAGCAAACTGATTCAGATGGACTTCATACCTCGATTGTCAATTTCGTCAATACATGATGAGATAATGTGAGGTATGTTTTCCTCATCAGTGGTCGAATGTTGGAGATGTCGATTGATGTCCACTCCAAACGTTGTCATACGCCTTTGGCCATTCTGTAAAAAAACGAAAAAGATTATAATAATATAAAAAGTGCTATAAAAAGCAAATTTATTTTTTAATACAAATTCAAAACAGTGTTAGTCCCTTGGGCTTAATTATAGCTATTTAAAAGGTTTCCAAATCAGAAAATTATCTCTTTGAGAGGAAACATTCGCTTGACCCTGTAACTCCTCAGTGACCAAGAGAGTATTTCTCCTTACAATATCATTTAAATACCCAGCAGACAAGTGATGAGAATTAAGAAAAAAGGTTTAAGTTGATCTATTACCAAATTCTCCAAATTAACATTGTAAGAATTGTATGCAGATAGTATGGAGAATTACCAACAAGATCTGGGAGTGAAATGGTTAACAGCCTTTACAAAGGCACGAGTTATTAGCCAACAAAATTGTCTGTGACGGCTCGAACCATAAATAACTTGACTAGTAGAGTATACCAGGGTCGGTTTTCGATCTATTGTTGGGGAGAGGTTTAAAAATCTGAGAAAAGTACGAGTCATCAGTACAAGAGTACAAAACTAAAAATAAGTAGTCTAAGAATTGTATTATCCTCCTTACCGAGTATTTTCCACATCGTATTTTGAGGCCCTTCAAACACTTCTTGTGACAAGTCAGACCACATACTTCACATTCTGCACCGTTGAAATACACATAACTGTCACACTCACGACACTTTGAGGCAGAGCGGAGTTTCTTCAGCGTGTGCGTCTTTGCTGATGGTGACAGACGGATATTCTGGAAGGGACCCGCAGATGGGCGGTCCTTGGGTTTACGTCTTCTATCGGAGCCTTGGTTTACACGTCCTTAAAACAAGACATTCGGTGAGCCCCAGGTTTAAAGGAGCTACCATAACAGTTAGGGTATCTTTCAAAATTACTATAATATGTGTATCACTACAGCACTTTGCTTCACAGAATCCTTCCTCATTAATTATGGATCAACATCTTCCTAAATCTAACCATGTTGGCTTGCGCTTAATCCTGTAACGCAGGGAACTAACTCTCACCATTAGTACTTCTTCCCTCATCTTTGTTATCCGCATCATCAGATGAGATCACCTCTAAGGATTGGGTCCGAGGAATATTGGCTTTGCGGTCTGAGGTCGGGCTACCTGAGGGGGACCCTGGTAGGGATCGACTAGTTGTACTGTCACCATCACTGTTGTGTTCCTTTAGATTACTCCAGGCATTGATCGGCTGTTGCGAGCTATTTACACCCCGTACACTGTGCAGCTGAAGACTTTTATTACGGCGAGAGGTAAATGGTGATGAAATCTTTGCTGTCTCCTCCACAGAAGAATGGGTATGAATGTAACGTGAATCAAATAAGGAGTTGTGGCGTGACGGAGTCTGTGATCCTCTGTCTGGGCTGAAACATTAAAAAGGCAATGACACGGTTTGTTTCTGACACATTCTGAAGGTCAGTTATGGGAATGTGTTGGAAAAACGAGAGCAGGAAAACAGCACATCTAATTATCCCTTTAACTTCCAAGATCAAACTAGAATTCGGTCTCGTTCTAAAAGGAAACTCGCTGAAAAGCTTGTCTATTCTCATAACCTGTTTACAAGGTGACCTATTGGAATTGCAAGGAGAAGTTACATGTTAATCACTTTAGTCAATCAGTTTAGGGGTCATACGCACCAGGCTTTTAGCCTCTAGTTTGAGCGGTTTGTCTGTGACAGTTTCGCATTTTAAATGTTGAGGAATTTTATAGGCTCTAATTAACGCGGAAATCAAGCACATGTGGAGCTGAAAACTGTCAACACAGGCATTATTCTATAATAATTCTACAAAGTTGTATAATAAAAAGTACATACTTTCCTGCAGAGTACGGTTCAAACTGAAAGACTTGTTCAACAGCTTGAGGTGAATTGGCTTGTTGCAGACGAACGAATTCGGCGAACTGGTTTCCAGGTTCATAATTCCTACTGCTTTCCGCGAGAGTCTGGAACTGAATTGGGCCGGGTGATACAAGCGCATTCATCATCTGGAAATAGTTACATGTTACCTAACGAGAGAATTATTCAAAGTCATAAGTAATAAACAAGTAATATTTGCTTCATAATAACAGTATTGCTAAAACTAGTCAGGAGCTTTCAAAGGTAAAACTAGCTTTCTTCTTTTTGCCATCTTTGTTAAGTTAACAGGTTACCAAAGGTTGTGCTATTACAAAAATCACACGGTGCTTAAGGGCTCCTGTCGCAGAAATATGGACTGTTCTGTTCTTGAAGGTCTCCGTAAAAAAAAATTTAAATAAATGGCCCAAAGGTCAAAGTTAAGCGCCTGTGGCAAGGAAAGGTTAACTCAGAGGGTGTGGTCCAAGACGTACCGCTTTCATTGTCATATCACATTGATAGACAAGTTGACGTAATTCCACCAGGATACTTGCTTTGGTATTTTCCAATTCTTTCTGCCTTGCATTAGCGTCTACCACACAAGACTTGTACATCTCCTCAGCCTCATCAGCTTTCCTGATATCACCTTCTTTCTTCTTGGTTCCGCGTGAGAATGTTGACTCTTCCTGGTTTGGACATAAAAACAGATAAAATATCTTTAAAAAGATTTCACCCAAAAAAGAAAGATGTCAAATAATCGTGGAGTAAATAAGGAGTTAACAATGAGAATTTGGACCCCACCACATAAAATATCGCTGTAGGATGCTCCACTAATTAACCAGCAACAGAACTCGTTGGCGATTTACACCACATACGAGACTCTCAAGGGAAAAGCGATAAACAAATGCCACGATCAGCCCTTCATCAAACGACAGAGCCTTTAAAAAAAACTACCACACCGCTAAAATCGCCCAAAAGGGAAGATAGAGACGGGACACCTGGACCCATGCGAGGCACCCACCCAAGAGAATAGAGGTATATAAATATATACAAATATAAAGTTCTCCAAAGCACTAGGAAATAAGAGTTAACAATGATGACATGAACATTCTGATGAGATGGATCACAAACAAAGCAGCTGCACATAAAAGGGATCTACAATCATTTTACAAAAATAATTTAAAGAACCCAGAGAGATAATATTTATAGGAAGAGCTACATCACAAACAATATTCCACAATATTATATTCACAATATTCCGCTTATGGCAAGAGGATTTTCTCCCAAATGAGTGAGAAGAATTTAAGGTTTGATCATGGAGGAAGGTGGAAAATCAAGTTTTTAACATAGCCAAAACAAATTATTGACAAACTTAACTATACAAACCTTTTCTAGTTCCTGTTGTTTCTGGATGTACAAAGATTTTGCCTTCTTAAGATTTGCTGCTGCCTCATTCTTTATAAAATAGTAATAGAGGGGAAAATTAGCCACAAATAAGATAATGAACAGAGATGCTTGACATGTTGCACAGATCAAAACTAATTATGTTGCATGTGTCTTACCAGTTTCTTACACGATTTAGCCCAGCTATCCTTCAGGTCCTTTCGTATTTTCTCATGCTTAAGTCTTCTTGCTGTTAAAGGCTACGTAAAGAACAGTAAGATGCAATATAATGCTCTAATAAGCTCTGGTAAATCTCTTTATCTCTAATCACCCTTGGGATTGGTTGTGTCAACACCATTCAGACAAGAACCTATTGAAAGGGAGGGCTTAATGTGGAAATGTGGGCCCTTTGAATTTCTCTATATTTCCTTCTGTTGTCCACTGAAAACAAGTGACTGATCATGATAATACACCAGAAATAATGCTCTATGGAAAGCCTTTGGCAGCCCCAACCCAATATGCAAAGCAAGACCTTCACAAATACCAAAATGTGGTCAAAGGTATCAAGTTACCAACCTCCATAAACCGGCTTGCTAAGAGGGCTGCATATGTTTTGCTGGCATTCTCAGCATATTCAATGTCCTTTGGGTGGAGAAACAAATGGAAATTGGTTACAAACCTTACATGTATGTGACAAAAATATTCACTTTTCTTGATTTACAGTGTTACAAATGCAGTATTCAACCAATAGGTAGTTCCAGTCTAAGCTGGCCAGTCTGTTAAAATCTAATTGCCAATATTTTTATTACTTGATATTCTGTGTATATAGTATTTTAAATGTTATTACATTCTAGAATATAATGATTCATTCTTCACCTGATCAAGGGCTGTCACGTAAATAGACTGAAAAGGCAGGTAATTCTGGAAAAAAAATACACAGGCATAAAAACTTTGATGATTTGGAAAATATCAAGGATTTAACCAAACAATATTACAAAGCAAAACAACATACTTATGAGACATGTCCCAAAATATTCTCACCTCCTCTACAATTGCTGTTCTTGTTGTCTGTGCAAGTTTTGTTAGTTTGTTTGTGTACTCCAACTCTAAAATATCAAATCAAGAGTACATTGACCATTAATCTTTGAGGGTAAGTGGATAATGTAGATTTGTAGTTCAGTCATCTACATGTAAATGCACAGAAAATGACACATGGAAGAGTGCAAATCTACACATAAATCTTAAATTAAATATTGAAAGCAAAACTCAGAAAACCATATACACTAGAAACATATTTGAATGTGTCAAGGAAAATAACTCTTTAACCTCTACAAGTGAGTAGCATCTGAAATCTTTTTCTATTATTACTGCTGAATCACACTTGTAGGTCACAAGGTTAAAGGAAATCATCAATATCTGAGGGAGCTTTTGATTGTTATACAAATCCTCCTGGTTAGTGCCATAGGGAATGTAAAGAGAACAGTGAGGAGAATATGCATGCTGATATTTGGGTGTAGAGGGAGAAGTCAGTCAGGGAGAGAAGTCATGGATGATTATGTGGTTTACCAAGACATGTGGAGGTGTTTATGTTGGAAACTGCTGTTTGTGTGAAATGTGAAAATCAGTTGTAAAAGTAACTGATCCCCGGAGCAAACTGAGAATCATAAGGAATGTGGTAAAAGTGCCAAGGAAGGTTACATGTAATAAGAATTAAGAACCTACTAATTTGAAGAGGGGAAGTGATGTTTGTGTTGGGAAGTCAGCTTTTCTGATTAACTTTGGTGCAAAAATAGAATTATCAGTTATCAACTTCACAACAAGTAAATTTTTAACATAGTCTACCACAAGCATCACACATAATTATATGTCCTGATCTCCCTTGTTATTGGCCATAATCTAATAACCATTCCAGACATATTTTAGGCATTGATGATTTTCTGAGTTTGACAATAACATGAATTATCAAGGGAAAAAAAAACATTTCACTTACCAAGGTGAGCTCTTTTGTCAACATATGTTTCTATGTCCTTGGAGTACTTAGCCCAAATTTTGGTTCTCTGATAAAAGAGAAATGAATCTCTTTGAAATAAGTATTTAAAATTGAGTGTTAAACAAGGATGGCTTATTAAGTAAACCTTTCTTTCAATACATTATTGGAAATTAAAATATATTACAAAGGGATGCAGTTTCTAGAACAGAAGTAACTACAATATCATAAGCAAGTTAACAAAAAAGACATGAGAAAATAAATTATCTAAATAATTAAAAATAAATTTCCACCATTTTAATCTACAGAAAGTTAATCAAAGTCTTAACTTGACAAAAAGTATCAAATCAGAGGTCACACAGAATAATGTGTAACTTCACCAACCTGCATTGCAATGTCTACTCCATGTTCAAGCATTATCAAAGCTCGATCCAGCTCATCAGCCTTCTCTGCCGAAGTGTCAACTGTGACCCAAAAACCAAATCAACAAATAAAAATAATTAATTCACTGCAATAGAAAAAACCTTGTTGGGATTTATTTGAGAAAAGATAGCAAAAGTACAGTTTTCAATTTGACCTCAATTCAAAATATTTTTTTAGTTCAAAGTAAAGCAAACCAAGGGCCAATTAGTATAAAGGAAAAGAAAAATATTTTCTGTTTTGTAAAATAAAATATAAAGTTGTGTGAGCATTTCATAGTTCATCACTTCATAATTAATATCTATTCTTTGAATCCATCTTACAACATTGAAAAGTTAAGAAAGCATGATCTAAGATATGGTTTACAAGTTTTTATGTGCAGGTTCTAATGCCTGCCATGTCAGTGAAACCTCTCAGCATTTAACCACATGCATACATGAGCACTCAGTCAATGATAGGATGTCTCACATTTTCAGACATCTACATAATTCTCTACAATGTGGCACTCTTTGTTCTGACGAGTGTTTTTACCTGATTCTTTCTTTTCCACAGGTTTTCTGTCATCTTCATCCTGGTCATCTTCATTATCCTCATCATAACCTCTCTCATCCATATCTTCATCATCATCATCACCAAAGTCTTCCAATGACTGAAGTAAACAAACAATGGATACATTAGATCAGGGTATGAATAATTCAAAAGTTTTAGGAAAAAAAAAAACAAGCTCATCACCAACAGAAACTCAATTAAATTATTTAGAAATGTTGGGCTCATAAGAAATTTATAGCAGTAACTTTCCTAACATACAAGCACAGCACTCTTCTCCCATTTATAATCCCCTTGAGAGCTGGACACTGCCTTGTAATTGATGGGTGAATGACCAAAGTGAAGTTAAAATCAATCATCTCTATAAATCCCTGTGACATTAAATTAATAAATTCCATTGAGCAACATTGTACATTATTTATAGATGTGGTGAATTACAAGAAAAAAAAAGGCATAACAACTTTCACTATACAGCACAGTACAAAATCTCAACCATTTAACCCTTTAACTCCCAAGAGTGACCAAGACAGAATTTCTCAGCTAAATGATAAGAAAAAAGGAAAATATCAAATTGGGGATAAATAATTGATCCAATATTAAATCCTCTGAACTAACATTATAGGAATTGTATGGTTGATAGTAAGGAGTAAAAGGGTTAACTCCCAAGATCTGATTGTTAACTCTCCCCTCTGCATGTAGCTGCCCCACATTTCTTTGTACATTAGTTATAAGAATTTGGTGTTAGCTCTGATAAGTCTGCATATTCTTATAACCTGTTTGCTGGATGTTGAACAAATATTTTGGCGAAAAGTTGCATGCTCACACTTCTGTGCAATATGCATATTTCTCTGTGATGTAAAAACTAACAAATTTCACCATACAGCACCAAACATTATTTACAAATGAGCAGATGAGAAAAAACAGCATTATTTACCAGCACAGAGTGCAATGTTCTTATTTCCAAAAGTGAATTGAACCTTAAATAATGTACAATTCCTTGCACAATGTTAGACAATGTACAAGGAATTATTGGGGAATGCATCTACCTGTCCTTTTAATCACAGGTCACTATACTTGTAAAGTTATCTCCATTGTGTTGACCCTCCATTTATCACAGCACTCATAACACTCACCACAAAAGTCGCACACACTTCCACCCACTCATATTTCACTTTCAAGTAGTCAAACTAGTAGCAAAATAAACTCACAAATGTCAGTGACATTTGTTATTTTCCTATGAAAACATCCACAGTAAGTTCCTTTATCAATTGATATCACACTCTATTTCCTTTAGATCATTATTCTATACCATGATTGACTCAAAAGGCACTGTTTACAGCTGTACATGTCATATGTTTTACCACATATTTGAGAACTTGTAATATAGTCTTTTGTTAACATTTTAAGATCAAAAGCATGGACTGGAAATCAATAACAATATTTTCCATGGTCTAAATGACAAGCACAAGGAGGAAGAAGAGTATCTTCATTTGCTTCAACTCAATCATAATTCATGAATACTTGGTCTCTCCCTGACAGGAGTGTACTTGCCCTCATGGAGGATAAATTGAAAAGACCTTTCATCAGTTCCTGATAAAGCATTTATCATGTGCATTCTAACCAAAGTTTCCTAGAATGTAAATTGGTCAGTTGCTACAAATTTATCGTTTGAAGCAAAACTTTTTCAAATTTCAATCCGGCTAGATGTTTTCTGTTGGAGAAGTAATACCAAGACAATACATGAACAAACCTAATATTGCAAAATGAAAGGTCAAGAGGCAAAGATTAACATATCAAAACATGTATCCCTAAATGTACAAGGCAGTCACAACATCCTTGTCAACATTATCTAGAAGATAATATTCAAATTTCCATGGCAGAAGCTCATCAAAAGATTGTTTAAGATCACACGGCAAAGGCTGCCAGATCAGGATCATAAACTAGTAGAGTTCACTCTGTTTTTTCCTTGAACAAGGTGAAAATAACTCTCTGTATTTTTTAATGAAGATAACAATCACACTTGTTTGTGAACAAAAGTTGAGCACAGAAGCAGATCCAAATCTTCTGCTGATTTCTTTACAAATGTTTCAGGTCCTTCAGGAACAGCTATGAACAATTTTTCTTCTCACAATGTAGCTTAAGGTACTGTTCAATTTCTATATAATAATACTTTCACTTATCTAGTTCTATCCTTGGTTTGAAATTTTACATATTTGTTTTGGCAGAAAGAATCAAATGAAATAAAATGAACCTGGGGTTAAAAAGAATCACATAAAACACAAAATTTTATTATGACATTTCCATAGTTATTGTTTAATAATTTCAATAGTCCACATTATCATCAAAAGGCAAGCAAAACTAACTACTGCATAGAAAACATGAAAAGAAGGTTTATAAATAAAGTGTTATGTGAAATCAAAATGAACACATTTATTATCTCTTTGCATAACTATTTGTACAGGAATATGGAGCAAATCAAACCACTCAGATAAAATAAAGAAACACACCATCAGCTTCATCAACATGTAACTTCAAAAGAGCCTTGTCAAGTTGACCTCACAAATGCATGTTGTTGTCAGTGTTGTCAAACAGCTGGCAATTGATCAAGTTTAAAACACTGATGTTTCATACTTATTTGCCAGAGTACTTTAGTAAAAACAAACAAACCAACCTAGCATATTTAGAAACTAGAAAAAGCTGTATCAAGGATACATTCTGTAATATCGTGATGGTAATTTTCTTAGTAAAGTACATGTACTTAGAGAGAAATATAATATTCTTGAATTAAGGTCATACTGTATGAAACAGATTGCAAGATGTTTCAACACAACAGGGAAAATCATGCTCTTATCCTCGCTTTAAAAGAGACTACACTTCAGACAACAGACTTCTATACTGAAAATGTCAATAACTGAAAAATTTCACTTACAATGTAGCTTATTGTCCGTGGGGAAAGACATTGAAGACGAGTTCTTCTTCTTAGAAATGACATTAAAGTATTTGTATCATGTGGGTCAACGTCAAAAGAATTTCCCAAAATTAGCACCATTTGGACAGCTCTGTTCCACTTGAATTCATTGGCAATTTGCAGATAACTCATGTATCTCACACCTCCAGTTCATATCAAGCCCGAAACTTAAGCACTGCATTCACACGTGCATAAAATCCCATCCCAGAATTATCATTCCACAGGCCAAGAAATATTTCAATTCTTTCGTGGGATGCTAAAAATATGAAATGTATGAACAATGTGTGTGTAACCCTACACTCTAAATGCCATCTGACCACAAGAACATCAGATCTGTTTCATGTTTTTGGTGCTAACAGCTTGTTTAACAATCCAGTGACACTCATAAATGGAATTTGACACAAAATTGGCCATGACAATCACTATTTAACACCTTGTTGATTCTTTACCTTGCTCCTTTCTAAAGAACAAATCACAAACCCAAAATACAAATACAATTGTAAATGGTCAAACAAAACATGTCAGTTATATTCAAAGTCAGTTGCTCAAACATATTTAATCAGGAAAGCTTAAAAATAATATCTCATAATAAGACATCTAGTATTTCATGTCTTTAAGTTTGTGGAATGCAAAAGAAATGCCTAGTGAAATCTATCCATGAAGAATTAGGTTGCAGATAAATCATATTAGAAAAAATTATCTGATTATAAAAACTTGCTACTAAATATCACTCCTCACAGATATTCTGGTAGAAGACATGATTTAGTGACAAGTTCTGTCACAAAGGTTTCATGTCTTCTAAAACCTAAACAATGAGTGTACAAGGCAGATTTACAGTAGCATATCACTATAAAAAAAAAATTTGAAAGGGAGTTTCTGAAGGAATTCTTTGAAGGGGTGTGTTCCATGCCTGCCTGCATAGGCACTGACTTCTACACTCATTAAATACCCTATCCCATAAACAGCCAGATTTGAGAAATATTTCACCAGAGGAAACTAGGACCTTTTGCTCACCCAAACATAGAATTTGAAAAATTAAAGGCTCTGAGCAGATTTTTGGGGTTAACTCTACATGCCCCTCAGCAGAAGGGGGCAGGTTGGAGGAGGAGTAAGGACCTGTTCCCCACCATCAAAGGTAAATCACACAGAATGAGAGAATTATCTTGAAATTCATTGTTAGCAGCAATAAAATGGAACCAAAATAATGCTTTTACCTTAAAATAAATTATTGAAAGATTTACAGCCAGCAAAAAAAAAATTAAAAACCCTTTGTCACAAACATACTAAATGAAAGAATGATTTTGCCCTTCAGTCTATGATTGCATCACACTGAATGAGGTCAATGGCTATAGTATCGAAGCATGCATTTGAAAATTTTCATTTCAAACATGGTCTTTACAAGTAGGTATTCTAAAAAGTTTGACAACTGATTTTGTCACTGAATGTTGTACTGGAGAATCACTAAACAAGGAACACATTTTATCCTGTGAAGAGGTCTTTGGAGAATATACACATGAACTTAGACAAATAAAAATATCTCACTAGTCTGAACAGTTACAGATGAGAAGCATTAGCTTTAAACCAATAAATAACAATAAATTTATATAAAATTAAAATAAATTAAGATAAATAGCTTGTTTTTAGTGGTGAATAGCAAAGTGTAACAGTAAATCAATCACAACACATTTGCTCATAGATTCCATGGACATCAGTTAAGTATAGATTCATAGATTGTATTTCTTGCAACTGAGGTGTCTAAAGAAGCAATAGTCAGCCAGTACACTTTGTGAGAGGTTTATTTTGGTTGGGAAGTAGCAATCTATTGACCACTGCTTAATAAACAATCACTTACTTGTGAATAATGTTTATTCATGCTTTGTTCTGACAAACCAATTTCCTGTTCACCCATAAGGAAATCAGACACACTGGAAAAAAGGACAAGAAACACATAATCACCATACATCCACACCTGAGTAACATGTAACTTATCTCTTGTGTATCTATACATTACCCTGCAAACAGGTGATGAGAATACTCAAACTTATCAGGTAAACAAGTTCAATTATCATGATCTGACAGCAAATTCTCATAAACAAATTTACAAGGAAATGCATAGCAGCTTGAAAGGGGAATTAACAATCAGATCTTGGGAGTGAAAAGGTTAAGAACCTCAAGGTCTATAATCAATTTTAATCATCCAAATGTCTCCATTTCAAGGTTCTGTTTTGCATCAGTCATCAGTCTTTATATACCATGTAACTACAGGAACTGAACCCTCCTTCTTAACACGAATTTGTCAGATTTAATAGAATTATCACAGCTGGTGTCAATGTTTCTTGCTGTCCTATCTGTTCCCATGAGAATTCTGGTAAATATTGTAAGCCATGAATAGATGCTGTCCTGCATGCATGACTGTAAATATTACCGGCTTTTAAATATTTTGAGAAAAAAAGAACTGTATAACTGTACAGAAATGTGGAACTTCAGTTAAATGTGCAATAAATGGTAGTTCAAATTGAACTCCACAGTTTTAGGATATTGAACGCTTTAATTCCAAAAGCAATCAACAAGTAACTTCATTAATTTTCAATTATCAATACCTCATGAGGAAACAAGTGTTGAGAATAAACATACTCCTCAGCTGAAGAGGGTTTTATCAAATTCTCAAATTAATTCTCAAAGAAATGAATGGCGGCTACTACAGAGATTTTATAATCAGATGCCAAGAATCGAAGGGTTGATCCAAGTTAATTTGTTTCTGAAGGAAAACTACAATCATCACTAAATGTATAAATGATGATAGTTACACAAAACTACTAACCCTAGGTTCTCAAGAGTGACCAAACACAAAATTCTCCATACAATATTGATACATTTCCATGCAAGAATAAAATAACCTTGAAGATGTTTTGATTTAAGGCCAAATTCTCAGATCTAAGATTAACTCTTTACACCCTAACATCAATATACATTTCTCCAAACTGCTCTCTATAAATTTCCTGAAGTGCTGACAAGGAGAATGTATTTAACAGTCCAGATCATTGAGTGATCATTTCCTTTATTCTCATGACCTTAATTTGTGATGCAGCAGTGATAATGTAGAGAGAAATTAGATGCAAGTCACTCTCTGGATTTAAAAGGTAAAAAGAATCATACACCAAACAGGATGGAGAATTAATGTTTTGTCCTTAGAAGCTGGAGAGGCATCTTGCCTCAAGGTGGTATAATTATGAGGGAGGGACTGGGATAGATATGTAACAAGAAGGCAAAGGTTTGGAAAGGAAAATGAAGCTATAACAAGACATTCAACAAATGTTGCTCTATCTCGTCTTACTTTTAGGCATTTCAACATCTCAATTTACCTGCTGCTGAATGCCAATGCAAGCTGATCAATGGACTCATAGAATTCATCAGGGGGTTTACTGGTATCCTCATAGTTGTGACTTTTGACCTTATTAATCAGTGTTCCAGCGGATGCAAGTATTTCTGTTGAGTGTAGTGGTTCGTAAGTATTGAGGACTCCTTTAAGAACTGACAGCACCTCACCAAGGCGTTCATGGGCTTTCACCTCAGGTGGTTCACTGTCAGGATTATCTACAAATGAAAGCAAAATCATTAGTTAAATGAACTGAATAATACTCTATTAACATTTCCCTACACCAATGTTCTAAGACTAGTTGTATGCAATGCAATTTCCAATTTGCAATGCAACTAGGATAAAATTTTAAACTTGAATGAGATTTGTCTTGAATGAGAGTGTATGTTAGAGCTTACATTTTGAATGCATCTTTGTGACTGAGAGACTCCAAGTATTTCTTGCTTTTGCACAGAAAAGAAAACATCACAGAAAATACACCCAACAGTCGAGGCTTTTTTTTAAAATTCTACTTAAAAACAGGGGAAACTTGTCCACAAGAGACAAAGAGAAGATGCATTCCTGAACACCTAATCAAGAACTGTCATGGCATGTTACATGTATCATTCACCAAAACATTGAAAAAAGAAAAGTTTGAAAATAATAAGGATTGTCCCCTGTAACACACAAACAACCAATGATTTAGTAAACATCATTCACAATGTCAGGTCTGGTAATAACAAATTTCCACAACAATCTCTTAACACTCTCTCATGTTAAATACATGCTCTATGTCATCATATTCGAGACTGTTGGATTTAGAATTCTGTTTTATAACTACACAAACTCTCACAATATTACAGACAACTTAAGGCAAAGAAGGAGAGAATGTTCTTGACTGAAGAGAACTAATCAAAACCATAATTTATGGAAATTGGCTATGATATTAACAACAGTTTAAAAATAGCAGCAAATTCCTTTCACTTGCAGTGCAGCAATGTGGTTATTGAGGTATTTGCTGAAAAGTAAACAATCACACAAAAAATCCCTGCGTTTGTTCTTTGAATGAGTATTGCAAATCAAATTAAAAGACATTTAGACGGACAGCTCCAAAATAAACATTCCTAAATCCTAATGTTACGGAAAAATGTCTTACATCAATATGATTTAGGAGTTAGGCAGGGTATATTCAGAGCAATGTATAACAGAGCAATATCAAAGTAAATTTGCAGAAAGATATTTGCCATAGTTTGAAAACAAAGTTTCAGCACAAACCACAATTTTTACTGTGAATGAATTGCATACACACAGGGAAAAATCGAAAAATTTTACAATGACAAAAAACCAGCAATACTTTCGATAAACCGCTAGCTTAATTTTTAAACATGTTCTGCACGAAATCGTCAGAAAAAGCAGGATACAAGTAATCTTACAATTGCAATGAATAACTTGTCGAGATATTCTCAAAGCACAAGAGTTTGAATTAGATATCAATCTCTCTCAATTCTGGTAATTAATGTCCTGATGAAAAAACGTTGGAATGATATAAAAAATCGTGACTGCATGAACGTGATTTTATGAAATTAAAACCTATCACTGGCGTCAATGATGTAACAATCCTTCATTCTTTTGCGTCAAAAAAACAAAAATAAAAGATTTACACCGCTAAATCAAGAAAAAATAAAAAGTCGCTTATTATGTCCCTATTTTAGGATTCAAACAGGTGATTACAAGCAATCAGAGTTAAAACATCCTCTAATGTATAACACCTAATTTTAATTACTGAATATGCTTGGATGAAATTGTTCCTGAAATCTCCTACGATATAATGAAAGAAAAATTAAGAAGTATGAGGTATTTCTCGGATCAGCGAAATATATTAACTTCTACAAAGGTTGATAACATGGAAATTATTCCCACTCACAGTTTGTGCACAAGATTAGCAATTTCGAATGAATGTGAGCTGACGATAAACAAGTACACAACTGGAAGGGCGCCTTTGTAAACATTCTTACCTTCGCATTCTATAAAAGTGTTCCGAAGCGAGCTCAAAGCTTCGGAAAACTTTCGAACGTGGCAGGTTAAAGCTATAATATCTTCTTGTAGAATCATAGGCTCTTCTGCGGTTTCATTGTAATAGCCAGTATCACTATTGACCGAATTACTCCGATCTGGAAATGTCACCGAAGAAAATGACTCCCTGTGGGAAGTTGTAGATGTACCCGAAGGTTGACTAGCACTGCGAACATGTCTAAAACCGAGCCTCAAATCCGGAGCCGACTGACTCAGTTGAGATCCATTTTCGAGTGCTAAAGGGTTTGCTTCACCAGTGGCTGTCTTTCGTGCTGTCGACGGAGAAGGAATCGGCGAAGGTCCTCGAGCAGTTAGGGTACTTCGGAGCGGATCGATCGGATTTGACGCAGTCTGCTGCGGCTTGCGATTAGATTCCTTAGAACAACAAAAAAAATCATTCAACGCCTATTTGAAATAACCCAGATCACAGGATTCAAAACGTGAGAGATTTAAAAGCAACACACCGGAGTCAAGGGCCGTAAAAGAGACTGTGATTGTGCATTTGAAGTCTGCGGTGTTCCTCCTGAGGTTGTCTTTCCCTTCTTCTTGCTGATCGAGATGGACGGAAATATTGCCTTCACGGAGGAAGACATCCTACAGCGTCAGAAATTCCACTTCGGTCGTTTCCACTTCTTGCATGTTTTAAATCATTGTACAAGGAAGCAAACAGATGAACAAGGAAGACCGTATGAGGTCAAATCTTAACACTTTCATAAGTCAAAGATTCAAGTTTTCATGTCCTCTCCGTTTATGTTTAGCGAATACCATTACGTTCAATTTTGATTGACAGCTTGCCCAGCGGCGGTTGAAGAGTCACGTGATCGAAAGACATAAATTGTAATAAATTAATTAATTTTCTGAACAGGTCAAGGCCTAGGTAAGAAAATAAGGATCTACTTAAGATGAGCAAAGATAAGAAATTAAAAAAAAAAACTAAAAAATTATGTCAAGCATACCATGAATCTGATAAACGCCTCTAAAAAAATTTTAAATATTTCATTCAAAGCAGAATAAATGAATCAAATATTTGTATTTGTAATGCATCTCTTAGACAAAAAGACGACGCCGCGATATTGAGACAAGTTCAAGATACCAGACACCGACATTTTTAATTCCTATTGGATTACAGTTAAGCAGTATGACAAATACACAAAACGGAAGGAACCTGTAATAATAGAAATTTCAAATGAATAATTTTGTTGATGCCATGACTTTCACATCGTGTGCAATTATCAAAGGTATTTCCTTTCTTCCGGGTGCAATACGCCACTTAATAGCCTTACGGTCGATACTCTACCAATATTTTAGTGCCTTAACCATTGCTATAATATACATTTGTTTATACACAAGCATTTGTGTTATCATTTTTCATGATTTAATACAAAAATAAATTTACTCAAGAGAACCCGCACCATCTAAACTAATCGATTACGGTATTTTAAATATTTGAGGAAATTGCGTAAGAAGATATATTTCTGAGCATGTCACGGGTATAATGATGCAGGGAATTAAACCCACTCCTTGCGAAATTATATTCTAAAAGCAAAAAATCACGGTGTCGCACGAAACACTGAGTGCAAACAGTCATGGTAGGTAAAGTTTGATTCGCAAGCTCGTTGGACAACCAAGATCAAGATAAAAAATAAACAAAGCTTTTTTAGCCTTGCTCCTTTGCTCTGTCTATGTCTTGGCGAGAAAAGTCAACAGGTTCACGGAAAGAAATAACAAAATGTTACCAAAGCTTTTCTCTTCTGTTATGTCCGCTGTCTTGTATTTTGGCCCTTATAAAGAGAGCACACTTGATCATTATGTACAACTTACTTGGGCACATAAATAATCATTTCGACGTTTATGTTTCGCAAAGCTCCACCAGATATTTTTTCCTCGACTGTGTCTTATCTGTTGGAGTTAACTGGGTAATTCTATTTTGCTCTTTACTGCTAAGGCCAAGTTTGAAAGCCTATCAAACCCAAGCAACAGTATTTTGGGATCAAGAGCACGACATGTATTCCCTCATCGTTGTATCATATGGAGGGTGGATAAGATTGGAGATCGCACAGCCAGTCCTTGCCATTCACAAGTACCATGATTGGTGCATCTCGAGTTTTGTTGAGGGTATTTCAAATGACATTTCAATCCACGTTGTTGTTCTGGGCTCCGTCCAACCCC